GGGTCGAAGCCGCAGGAGGTATTTACACCAGGTTAATTCCCGCCACCACGCATAGACATAGCGCAGTGGCTCCCCGAAGGGTTATGTTGACCTGCAGCCACATGATTCGAACATGTTTCACCAATGACGCCCCCTAGCATCTTTGTTGTAGATTCCTCTTGGAAGGACATGTATGCCAGGACCAGGACCTTTGCTTTTTGTAAGACACTCTTTAATAGTAAACATGCAATCCCTAGCGTCGACTAAACTTTGTACCAGGCTATGTTACAGGCCTGAAGCCTTGTTATGCCCAGGTTCAAGTGCATAGTTGTAGAACCCCGCTAGCATTTCCCCAAGTTGGAATCTGTTTCTGAGTACCCTTCAACGAGCTTGATCTCTCAAACCCCCCATTGCAGACAGAAGTCCTAGATCTTAAGCTCCTCCCAAACCCTTGACTGTAAGCCCCAAATCCTAAATTCCAACCCCCAAGCCCCAATTTCTAAATACCAACCCCCGAGCCCCAAACCTTAAATCCAAAGCCCCATGCCATCAACCCCCAAACCCCAAACAATTGGTAGTTTTCCCTGAATAGGGGTACCCCAATATAGACCCCCAAGTTCTACAATCCTTATTCTGGGGAACCCCAAAATGGTGCCCCTAATTTTGCGGAACCCTAGGCCCTAATCCCTAAATCCCAAACTTCCGAAACCCTAAACCCTATACAACCCCTAAACCCTGAATCCTAAACTCTAAACCCTGACAATTCTGGCAGGACCTTTTAGGTCTGGCCCTCTTTGGAGGTCCGGCTCTGCCAGGGCCTAAAGACAGAAGCCATGCACATGGCCTACTAGGAGCTCCAGGGTTTAGGGTTTAATGTTTAGGATTTGGGGTTTAGGATTCAGGGTTTAAGATTTTGGGTTTAGCGTATATAGGGTTCAAGATTGAGGGTTTAGGGTTCAGGACTGGTTCAGAATTCAGGGTATATCTAGCCTGCTCAAGACTGTATTTATGCTGCAATTACAAGCCCCCGATGTTACCCAGGGTGAAGACCAGCTGGGCTGTATTTACCCCGAACCCCTAACCTCCTCTGCCAAGGATCTGAAACTCAGTTTTCCCCAGGACAATAGTGGCCCTACCCCCCAGACCCTAAACCCTAAACCCATGCTGATTTAGTTCAAGTTCCTTGGCAGCAATCCTGTCATTAGCGCTCAGCAGCATCAAAGATTGGGAGTACTGTAGTGTTTGGGCGTCCCCTTCCCCAAGTTAAGGATGAGCCCATGGGCGCGTACCAAGGATTTGTAACGGTCACCTTGAAAATCTGCCATGCTAAAGCCTCAGTTGGATCCTAACCCTAAGCCCTTAACCCTGAATCCTGAATCTCAGGCTAATATGGTAGCTAAATAGCCAGCCTTCAACTTCTTCACACATATCTTGTGCTGGTTTGCGCATCTGGGGAGCCCCAATAAGGGCCCCAAAAATAGCAGAATGCTCCTTGCGCAAAAATCCACAATTGTCGAATTTTTGGAACTCCCCGAACTCAGCATGAGGAGAACCTAAGCCGGAGGTCAGCCTCCAGGCCACGAACCTTCAGCACCAAACCCAAAGCCCCCATGAGAGTGATTCT